ACACCGTGCAGTGCTCAGGAGACATGTGATGCTGGGGATGAAACCAATCATGTCTCTCTTCCTGTAAGTTCTCTCTCCCTGAGCCTCTTGTTTATAGGATTCCCATATGAATGAAATTTCATTCGTTTCTCTCCTGTTAAACTCTTTATGCGAAATTCATTAACATACCAATTAAAGACCCTTGAAGGGAAAAATTGCCACTACACTTATAATGGATGTAGAGTAATAGGGCTCTGGTATACAGGATTCTACTGCTCCCACCCTCGATCAAAGTGTGTTTGGGTTGATGTTTACTAACAGTTACTTCTACGACACCTAAGATTTCTTCTGGATGCCCTTCAAGATTGCATGCTTCTGGCAATGGTGGCATCGTAGATGGCACAACATCTTCAGGGATGGAGATGGGGGTTAAGAAAAGAAAAACAGCCACCTATCTAATAAGAGTCTCTATCTCTTGCTCGCTCGTTCTCCTTCATGCTCTCTCTCTCTAGCTTGTTCTCTCTCCCTCCCCCTCTCACTCTCTCCCTACACCTAGAATTGTGTTTAAACCCAAATGAATTTAGTTCCAATGGGGACTCTCAGGACCATGTAGTATCATTCAAAAGGGGGAAAAAGGCAGAACAAAGAGAAGAACAACAGAGGGAATGAATAAGTAGCTCAAAAAGGATGAATGATGCCCAGTGGAAGAACCTGGGCATCCAGGCACTTGTACTGATCCCACTTATGGAAGTTTAAGAATAGGTTAAAACATACAAAAAACAAACAATTGACAAAAATAGCTCTGCACATATTCAAATAGCAGGGCGGATATGATGATTGACTACAGAGAGACACAAGGAAACTTTGGGGGTAATTCTAGATCTTGCTGGAGTACTAGTGTATGCATTTGCTGAAATTCCTGTCTGGACACGTGTAACTGGGACACATTTTATGGGCCACAAAAAGACACCTGTCTTCAGATACTCTCGAGCACATTCGAATGCCAAGGTGGTTTGGTATGAGACTCAGGCAATCAGAAGCTAATGTCCGTGCTCACAGAGCAGTGCAAAGAAACGATGAAGGAAGACCTCAAAGAGAGAAAAGCAGCAGTGTTGGCTGATGCAACAGAAGCTGGGAAAAGTATTTGCAACACCGGTCCTTCACCAACTGTAAGACCAAGATGACTGCCCTCCAACCTCCTGGTGAAACTATCACATCTTCCAGAAGTCAATGAAGAAGGTTATCCATGACTACTACTCGGATCTCTTCAATAGCCATGTCCACCTGCCCACATACCAAATTTCGCAGGAAAGATATGTCCTTCCCAGCTTCCTCCCTTCTGAAATTCAGCGTGCCATTTCGTCCGTAAAGAAGCATAAAGCAACCTGTCCAGACAAAGTCAGATGTGAACACCTGAAGAATCTGCCACCAGTACCCGTCAATACACTGGTTCGGCTCTACACACGCTACCTGTCTAAATGCAATGTTCTGTCCCTATGGAAAACCCTATGGAAGACCATTCTGTTGTACAAGAAAGGAGATATCCCCAACATCAGCAACTATCACCCAAGCTGCCTGTTGTCTGTCATCTACAAGCTGTTCACTCGAGTCATCCTGAATAGGATTAGCAGAACACTAGACTAAGGATAATCATGCAAGCAAGCCAGGTTCCAAAAAGGATTCAGCATGATCGACCATATCCACACCGTGACCAAGCTCAATGAGGTTTTGTGAGAGTTCAAGATAGCGCTCTGCCTAACGTTCATAGATTTAAAGAAGGCCTTTGATTCTGTTGAGAACGAATCCGTCATCGAAGCCTTAGCCAAACAGGGCATTCAAACTCAGTACATCAGGATCCTCAGTGAGCTGTATTACGGATTCACGACCAGGATCTCACCATTCTACAAGGAAGTGATCATCGACATAAAGAAAGGAGTTCGGCATTTTACCAAAACTCTTCAGTGCCACCCTCGAGAACGTCAGGCAATGACTGGAATGGGAAGGAATGGAAGTGAAGATAGATGTTTGGCAACTACACCTCCTCCACTTCACTGATGACATCATTCTAATACACCAAACATAAGCCAAGTGGCACGAATGCTGGCCGACTTCAATCTTGAGTGTGGAAGGGTAGGACTGCAGCTGAATCTCACGAAGGCAATGTTCATGAGAAACAAACTGGTTCCTGCTAGTTTGCTCTCAATGGAATGAACATCTCCAAATTGCAGCAGTTATGTGTACCTAGGTCGAGAACTCAACATGAGGAACAACTTGGCACCTGAGCTGCGCAAGAGAAAGAGAGCAGCGTGGAATGCCTTCATGAGTGTCGAAGAAATAACTGAAAGGGTGAAGAACCCCCGGCTCTGGGCATATCTCTTCGACTCCACCATTCTTCCTGTACTAAAGTACGCCTCAGAGTCCTGGACCCTATGAAAACAGGATAAGAACAATATTTGGTTCTCTCAAAGAGGAATCAAAAGAGTTATGCTTGGAGTATCACAATTCACTCAAGTGAGGGAAGGAATCCAGAGTTCCGACCTCCATTGATGATTGAGAATGAGGGATGCTGTCTTGTTTGCCAAGGCATCGAAAATCTGATGGGCTGGACAATGTAATGCAATTTGGAGATGACCTCTGGACTAGAGCTGTTACCAACTGAATTCCAAGGGACGTCAAAAGAATGCCTGGCCACCCACCTACAATATGGTCAGACTTCTTTGTCAAGACCCTGAAGGAATAGTTTGAGGCTCTTCCAGGAACACCTGGAGCGAGCAGAGGCCATTGGGCTATACTAGCATGCAACAGGGATGAATGGAGACATTACTGGCACCTGCTCGAGCAAATCAATGAGCAATGGGATCACAAGTGATACAAGTGAACGAATGCATCTCAGTGTTTCCTTTAAAGTTTCCGTGTGTTGAATGAGAGTGAGAGGTGGTATTGTGGCTCCCTCTGAAGCATTAGCGGACCAGGGGTTTGACTCACTGCTCATGCTATCGGTTCTTTCCAAGACCCCCCCTTCCCAGTTTGCTGCACCCCATCCACCCTTTATGGTAGGGGCTTTCCATGCATTCTTCATCTCTGGGCACTGCCGGCCAAAAAACAAGCCCTGCTCAGAAGCAGTTTCAAAAGAAACTTAATAGTAAGAATCTTCAGAACAAATCTAAGGCTTAAAGCTGGAGAAAGGGTTGGATTTTTCTGATTCTCTCATCCCTCTGAAGTTTTATCCTCATTACAGTTTGTACGGGTGGGTATGCGTACGTACAGCGTGAGGGGCATTTTCTGGTCGAGATCGATGGAGTACAAGTGGTACTACATGGAAAGTATCATGTTAAGCGAAATGAGTCAGAAAGAGAGGGATAGACATAGAAAGATTGCATTCATCTGGGGAACATAAAGTAACAAAATAGGAAACTAACACCCAAGAGTGGCCGAGATTAGTACCAGGAGTTTTGCTCCATGGCTTGGAGGCCAGCCACACATGCTAGGGGAAAAGGGAGCTCAGATAGAGAAGGGAGCAGCAAATAAAGGGTGTTGGGAGGATCCTCCCAGAATGGGAGAAGCATGGTGAAAGTAGACTATAGACCAAACATGATTGCCACTCAATGCCTCTTTTGCAAACCACAACACCGAAAAGGAGAGAGAGAACAAAAGGAAATGCCCTGCCACAGAGGCAGGGTGGGGTGGGGGGATGGGGGGGTGGGAGGGATACTAGACCCATGGTGGTGGAAAATGGGCACTGGTGGAGGGATAGGTATTTGATCATTGTATAATTGAAACCCAAGCACAAAAATTTGTAAGTCTACAACTGTACCTCATGGCGTTTCACTAATAAAAATGAAATTAAAAAAATAAAAATAATAAAATTTAAAAAAAAGATCGACGGAGTTGGTCTAGTTTCACGCTGAAGGACGAGCATGACTAGATGCTCTGTTGCAGACACGCCTTTCCCTGGGAAGCATCACTTTCCATGGGGCAGCACTGTAGAGCGGGCCACTAGGCGTGCCCAGAACCATACAAGTCAGGTGGACCAGGAGAGAAGCAGGGCCTGTCGAGGAGGCAGAGATGAGCAGACCGGGCTGCTACAGGGGCTGTCCCCTGCGTGGGCCAGTTGGAAAGGGTGGAGCGGAGTGGGCTCCAGAGGTCTCTATATGAGGGCACAGCCTGGGCCCAGCCTGCCCGGGAAGCCAGGAGCAGGCAGGGGCTATGGGTGGGGCCCAAGGCGGAGCCGCGCAGAGGGACGGGGCAATGGGGCAGGGAAACGGGCGGGGTCGGGTAGCAGGGCTGGGCTGAGCTGTGGGCGGGGCCCGGGGCGGAGCCGGGCAGCAGAGCGGTACTGTGGGCGGGGGACGGGGGTAGGGCGGGGTGGGGCGGGTCTGTGGGAGGGGAGAAGAAGTGGGGAGGGGGCTATAGGCGGGGACCGGGGCGGGACCGGGAAGCAGGGCGGGGCCGTGGGCGGGGCCCGGGCGAGGCCGGAAAATGGGGCGGGGTGGGGCGGGGCAGGGGGGCGGGGCTATGGTAGAATGCCTTTGCTGGCGTTCGACGGGGAGAAGAGGTGGGGAGGGGTTGCGGGCGGGGCCCAGAGCTTAGCCGGATTGGGGGGCGGGGCGGGGCATAGTGCCGGGACTGTGGGCGGGCTTGGGCAGCGGGATGGGGCGGGTCTGTGGGCGGGACCCGGCGCAGAGCTGGGTAGCGGAATGGGGCGGGGCAGCGGGGCGGGGTCCTGGGCGGGGCCTGGCAAGGGATGGGACGGGACTGTGGGCGAGGCTTGGGGCGGAGCCGGGCATCGGGGAGGGGCGGGGATGTGGGCGGGTCCCGAGCAAAGCCCGCGGCCAGGCGGGGCGGGGAATAGGGGCGGGGCTGTGGAAGGGCGGGGCAAAGGGGAAGGGCAGAGGGGCGGGGCTGGTCCCTGGGCGGGCCCGGGCAGAGGGTCCCAGGTCTTGCGGGGCAGCGGGGCGGGGCTGGGCGGATAAAGGGCTGCTCAGCGGCCCCGTTCCAGCGGACACTCGCTGCCCAGCGTCATGGCCTCTTCGCTGCGCTCGCTGCTCCTGCTGGCCGCCTTGGCCCTGGCTATGAGCTCCGTGGTCTGCGCGAGATCGGGCTTGAAGGAGTACGGACACCCGCTCCCAAAGCCCGCGCAAACGCCCAAGATCGACCCCAACGAGGAGCTGTTAGTGCAGCGGTTGTTAAACTTCACCATGCTCAAGTACAACGTGATGAGCAATGAGACGCACCTGCGCCGCCCCGTGAGGCTACTGAGCACTCGCAAAGAGGTTAGTGGAGGGACGCGGGCCTCCAAGACCCGCACGGGCTGCAGGGACCCCCGCTGCGCCTCCACTGGGGTCCCACCGGGCTGCTTAAAGCGGGGGCAGGGGGCGGACCTCTGGAGGGCGGGGCTCTGGAGGACGGTGCTAGGTGGGCGGGGCCATCAGAGGGCGTGGCCGCTAGAGGCAGGACCGCGGGGCGAGGCCGTGGAAGGGCGGGGCCGCGGTCCATAGGCGGAGAGATGCTGGGAGAGGAGACGGGTTTCAAGTCTCTGGCTTCAGCCATGGCCCTTCCTGCGCTGGTCACGGGGGAGATCACGCCCTTGACGCCCCCGTGAAATTCTTGCTGCTTCCTTGCTTGGGGTCACTGCTTAGGGCCAGAGCCCTGTTCTTCCCTCCTGCCCTTGGCCCAAGACTCCTTTACCGTCTTGGGACCTACCTTCACGTTCTTGACAAGCGAAGAACTGACACAAGCACTGACCCTGCTCTTGGCTTGCCCTCCCCCCTGTGCCTCTGAGTGGTTCTTTCAACAGTCCTTTTTCCTGTTCGCTTTACACTTCACACTTATGGAGCAGAGGTAAATAGCACAGTCTCCGAGTCCTTCCACAGGCTCCTCGCTTGCAACATCGTCATGTTTCTTTTATTCTCCGTAGTTCATACACGCTGTGTTTATGTATGCATCTATTTTTTCTGAATATTTTCTGAGTTAAGCAGAAACAGTTTTATTTAAAGAAACTTAGAGGAATGTGAAGGGAGATCAGGAGAGCCATGTGAAGGGAGATGAAGGAGGGAGCCTGGAGTCTCCGACCAGTCCCCGTGAACAATGAGCCTTTCCCCTAACTTTTTAAATGTAAACGTTTTCAAAAACAAAGTTTCTAATATAATGAATATAGGATTTTCACAGCCAGGGATTATCACTGACATCTGACATTCAGAATTTGCTTGTCCTACCCTGTCCCAGGCCATACTGTGAGACCTTGAAGCCCCTTGATCTCTGAGGCTTCCCATGAATCTGTCTCAGGGCCTGCTCTGGTATTTATGAAGGGTCCAGTCATTTGCGATGCAGGCTCAGTTTGGGTTGACCAGATCTTTACTCCAATTAGATTCTGACTTTACAGGTTTTTCACAAGTGCCACTTAGCTGGTCCAGCCTCTGCAGTGTTAGCCTTGCAATGAGGTGCCTGGGGCCAATGCTACAAAAAACCACTGCTCGATGAATGCAGAGATTTTATCAGCACACCCAAGCATCCACTGACCAGTCAAGTGGTCCCAGAGATTCCAGAGCAGAGAATTGACACAGAATACAAACCTCTTGAGATCCTGGAGGAAAGGCCTCTGGACCAGTGTTCCCCGTGTGCAGGTGAAGACGCTTTTTGGTATGTGGAATTAACTGCCCCAAGATGGGCACACGCCAGTGGCAGCTGAGTGGACAAGTGCCAATGGGAGCAGAGAGGGCCACGGCCCAGCCAGCTGCGCCGTACGGCGAGGGCTGCCAGCTCTTCTGAGTTGAGTGGATATGAAAGAGCACCAGGAAGGGGCCTTGTGCTCATCCTTGAAGGAGGGCCCTTGTAGGGGTCTTGCAAGTGATTTAATTTTTTTAAGCTTCAACTGTGAATTAAAAATAATACCTATTTGAGTATCACGTGTTATGGGAGGGGGGATTACATGAAAAAAATTATCCAATACAGTGTTGGAAAAAGATACATGGGAAAATAGCCCAATACAGTGTTGGATGAGTAGTAAATATTCTGTAGATGTTAACACCATGATGGGATCTAGTTGATTAGTTTGGCATTGTTTATAGGATGTTTACCCTTTCAATAAATTAGTTTAAAATCCCACTGGAGAATACAGTATAGTGATTCAGCTGCACAAGGAAGATCTTGCTCACATGCAGGACTGGTCTACCTTCTCTTAACTTTTTAGAGGGGACCCAAGACCATAACCATTTCATCCACCACAGTTGGCTGCCCTGAACCCTCTGGTCAGGAGTTGTATTGTCCCAAATCACTAAGTCCTCTTCAGCCAGCTCCTTCCAAATGTGACTTGAGCTTGCCGCATTAGGTGAGCCTTCGAGCTCCTTGTGCCTGTGTGGGGAATCTGATACAAAGGAGTTTGTAGTTCCCTCAGAAAGGATTTAGGATTTGGTTCCCAGCACTCCTCACGTCATGCTTCTCCTACTCCAGCAAAGCACATATATGAGCTGCCCTTCATGAGATCAGGGTTCACTGTGCTTGGGTAATCTCAAATGGAGAAGGCATACAGAAGTGTCGACCTTCACAGGTATGACTATTTAAAGTGGTGTAGGCTGTACACCAAATAGTAGAGTGATGGGGGGTTGCCTTATTTGCACTCGACCCAGGTGGGATCCCCGGCATCCCATATGGTCCCTGGGCACTGCCAGGAATAATTCCTGAGTGCAGAGCCAGGAGTAAGCTCTGTGCATCGCTGGGTGCCCACTCCCCACCACCACCACCAAAAGTAATGCAGGCCTACTGGCCTCAAATACGTGTGTGAACACCCCAACTCCTATTGTTATGGGAGGCATGAATAGACTTGAGTTACGTAGAAAGATTGACATTTTCTCTGGGCTCCTAACAGGTAACTGGAATTTAGCATAAGCCTATATACAGCAGATAGTAAATAATGTATGAGTGGAATGTGGCTTAAATGTGCAAATAACAGATAGAGTTGGCTGAAATTATTACAGCCTGGCCTCAGCACAGCTGACATCTGTGCCTCTGTCCTTGCTCTGGCTGCCAACAGTGATGCGTTTGTTTACCAACACCCTTGCTTTACCTTTGTTTCTTAAACTGAGTTGATAGAATTTTGCTTCCTGGCTTAGACCTTCCCTTTTACTGCTTTGCTCATGAGGCTGTGGGAGAAGCTTTATTGTTGCCTCATAGTACAGAGATGACAAGAAACAGGGCCTACGGCACGGGGCTCAGGACCTACTGGCACAGGAAATGACTCTGCTTCACAGAGCTGGCCCTGGCAGCCTGCTCGCAGGCAGAGAAGGTGTGAGGTGGACAGTGTTGTAAATGATTGTTCTTCTACACATGTATAGAACGTGGCTGCGACAAACTACTATTTGGAGGTGGAGATCGGCAAAACCACATGTACCAGGGATGAGGTGAAGAAGTATGGATGGTTCACATGTCCCTTCGATGAAAAGAAGGAGGTGTGTAATTTGTTTAGGGCAGAGGAGGACCTGGTGTTTCCTTGTGTTTGTTTGTGGGGGTGGGGGAATTTTAGTGCATTTTTGTGTAAGCATGTGTTTGTCTGTCTGTGTGTACATGTGTGTACAAATTTAGGACTTTTAAATCTGTGAGAGGACTTTAGCTGCAGAATTGGAATTGGGGCACAGGTTTCCCAGGGGACTGTTGAAAGGGAGGAAGACCCATGGAATCCTGCCCTAAAGCAGTTTAGAGGGAATCAGAGCCTGGTTGAAGCCCACCCTACACACGTCACGTCTCATACTGCCTCACTCACTCACCAGACAACAGACTCTTGACAACGTGACTGGTTATTGAAGTCTTAGATTTGGAGGAGAGTTCGACTCTCGTACCCCTCTCCCTACCCTGTCTTTTATGTGAAGGATTGTTTTCTGGACCTGGAAATGGCCCCATCCTGAAGTCCTTCCAGAGGCCCTCTTTAGCCTTAGTCCCTTGGAAGTGAAATGAGCTTGGGGTAGGAAGATCTGATCCCTGTCGCACATACTCTGGGGTATTGTGGTCTTCTGCAAGTACCCTTTAAAGGACATTTAGGTCACATAGGTGGAAAGCATACTGTTGTCCCCCACTTGGAGCAGAGTGAAGGGTGACTGAGAGGTCACAGCAGAGCCCCGCTTGTTCTTACTAGGGCTTACCAGGGCAGTTCAGTGGTCTACTCCCATTCCTCATCTGTACTTCTGGCATTTTCTTGTTTTACCCTAACCCTGATGTTGTGTGTCTCTCTCTTCCCTGAGGCAGAAAAGACGCTGCCGTTTCATGTTATACCACAAGAATTGGCTGAATGAAACCAGGCTGATGAGCACCAATTGCTACTACAGTTGGACCCCTGACGTTGCTTCCAGGCCTTAGATGCATAACTCCCCTCGTGGAAATTCCCTCAGAATACAAGACCCAGAAGACGCAAAGAATGCCTGTGGTGCACTTTTTGAACAACTAAATAACTCTAATTTCAAGTCTCTTTTCGTTGCTTTCCAAAGGCCGGAGTGCACGTGCTCTGCACACAATAAAAAGTAACACATTGGTTCCTCCTTGAGTCGTTTACTGTGGATGGATGTGCATAAACATAATTAGGCAATAACTCTACAAAATGCTCCTTGTCCTGCTGACTGTAGGTACACAGGAGCCCAGAGATGGCAAGACTGGGGTGGACACTAGGGGTGTGTGTGTTAGGTCATTAAATGAGGCTGAGGCATCCAACAGTGGAAGCCTCTGCCAATCCCATTAGGGACAGGACAGCACCATGACAGCTGGCCCTGGAGGCGTGGGTGCATCCTCCAGCCAGAAGCCAGCCGGTGAGCCTTGGCAGGACGGGGAGGGCAGGGGGAGGCCACAGGTCCCAGCGCTGGGCATGGAGCAGCTCTGACCTTGTGACTAAACTCAGACGAGACTACAGACGAATTAATATATGTCTGCTTTCTACATAGAACTTAGGAAGCACATAGAAGACAAAGGCTAAAATATGTTTTCTGATTGGGAAAACCCCAAATCAGAATGAGTTCAGGAATTAAGCAGTGTCTTCTAATATGTCCAAGCTAGAGGTCTGGCCTATGAGGATTTTGTTGAATTAGGTCCCAACTATTCCCTAAACTCCAATTTTTAAAGTCCTATATAGAAACTGAGATAAGTAAAAGAGAATCTTGGTGACTGTGCACTGAACTTTTACTCCTGATGAGCTAATAGGATTTTTAATGAAAGGTAGATGTCACTTTGCAGATCACTTCAGCACCCCCTATACAGGAAAGGCTTGAGAGGGCCACTAAGCACAGCCCCTCTCCAACATTGTACTTTTTTTTTTAACTTTTATTAGTGAGACACAATATGGTACAGTTGTAGACTTACAAATTTTTGTGCTTCGGTTTTGATTATACAATGATCAAGTACCCATCCCTCCACCAGTGCCCATTTTCCACCACCACGGATCCCAGTATCCCTCCCACCCTCCATCCCCCACACCCCCATCCTACCCTGCCTCTGTGGCAGGGCATTCTCCTTTGTTCTCTTTCTCCTTTTGGGTGTTGTGGTTTGCAAAAGAGGCATTACATTGACTTCCCATTTGCCCCAGAGGATGAAGTGTCTTCAAGGCGTGGCCTCAGCCATGTTGTCTGATCAAGGACACCTTTGAACTGTAGAAAGCTTTTTTGTGCCTTGCTCCTGGAAGCTAGAAGACAATATAAGGGGAATCCCCAGATTGCTGCAGGACCAGCTCCCCATCTGCTGCTGCCCCTGGCACAGCCAGACCCAGAATACAGAGGAGAGGAGGGATTTGGCCCTGCTTTGGTGCTACCTGCCCCATAACCAACTGGGCCCCAGGTTCACATAAACCATATAGTTTGCATCCAACCTTCACCCCATATTTTAAGGAAAGACTTGAGGAATGGAAAAAAAAAGCAAGGCACCAGCCTAGCACTCATTCACCCTTGACTGCACCTACACCTGGGTTGTCTCAGGGTATAAGGATCTAGACATAGACTCCTATTTTGGGAGAGAGGCCCTGACCACGCACCCAAAGCATAAAAGTGACACAGTCTCTTCTGCCTGAGTGAAAATCCCTGGATATTACATAAGCAAACAGTTGCTCCGTACCACAGTGAAAAAACAAATTTTATATAAAGCCACTTGTAGACATTTCCAATTCTATTTTGTCTTCCTTGTGTAGGTTGCAAGGGGAAGTTGGATAGTTGGGTCCACGGTCCTGCTTTTCTTAGCTCCACACTTCCTATTGTAGGATGGCATTGCTTTGTCCTTTCTCCCTTTCTCCACAAGGAGCGTAGATTTATCTGGTTACACCCATCACAGTGCTCCTGAAGCACTTCCATTCCATTGTGTTTATCTGTAAATTCTTCCCTATGCTCTCCTCCCCAGCCAGTTAATCAGCTTTCCCCCTAATCAGACTCTGTTAACTTGTAAGGTTAGATTCCTCAGAAATCTATGATTTTATATGTATGAGTGAAATATTGCCTTTCTCCTCTCCTTATGTCTTATGAACAGTTTACTTTAAAGCAATGCCCTTTTTGTATAGATATAGGAAGACCATTAACATTATGCATTATAACTTAGAATTTAATTGGCTTTGAATATTATTCACTCCCGGGCATCTGCTTTCTCGACTTAAGCCTCAGTTGCCCTTAGTTTCTAACACCCCAAAAGCAGGATCCTGACGATGGACTGAATGGACCCAGGGCAAGCAGTGAGCTACCCTGGCATCGAAATGGGCCAGGCCAAAGTGCCACAATTCTTAACTATAAGTTAAGAATTTGATCATAGACAAATGCTGTCATGATCCAAAGTAACGAGACTAGGATCCTGCTAGGGGTAGGAAAGACTATCTGGCCTGAGCACTGTAGTCTGAGATCGAGATGTCCCTAGAAGGGCAATCCTATAAGTTTAAAATATTTCTTACTGTATCCATACAAAATGATTTATATTATATATGCTTATATGTTTGTTGGACAAGGAGAGGAGAAACACACCCATGGGCATCCGCTCTAGGGTGGATTGATCTGATAATGAGGATCTGTCCTAGGAGCGGATATCTCCAAGGGAAAGAATTCTACCCCTATTGATTGTGATCGCACCTATGTGTAATTGTTACCCCAATCCCCATCAGGGAGATATAATGAGACTGTAGTATGGGCAAGGGAGGCAGAGGAGAGAGACAGGAGTGGATGGAGAGAGGATCGGAATAAACTGTGACTAAGAACAACCAGCCTGGCCCTTGTTTCCTTCCTTCACCTGCCCATCGCCATCAACCTCCCCAAGGTGGGGGAAGAAGGGTGAGACTACCGAACGCGGGTGGTGGGAGAGACAGAACCGCCGCCGCTGTGCTATGCCCCTTTTTGAGTTTACACACCTATGTGTCTGCTCCCATTTCCAGGTTACTTGTTTTGCAACCCACAGCAGAGGGTTCAGTGTGATATTCACTTAGATCCCCCTTCGATACAGAGAGGTGGATACCTCGGACTATAGTAAGGCGGGTTGACCTAGACAACACAAGACTGGTTCCTGCACGTTTTATCTACATGTTTTCTTTTCATACCTTTTAGTTTTAAATAGAAATATATAACATAAAGATAGTCAGGTACATAAAAGTGGCTCTAATAAACAATGTGTTTGAACTATTACTTTGACTGACTTAATTATATTCAATTGATTTACAACATGTCTCTGATATTCTCCCTGCATGAAGAGGCAGCATCTGTGACTCACCTGTGACGTGGGTGGGCTTTGGATTTCTTCAACTCAAAAGATAGAAAGAGTGATTCTGTCACCTCTGAGACAGAGAAGATCTGAGAGTGAATCCAGTGTCCATGAAAGGACCTGGAGTCTCAGAACTCAGTGTGAGGTGAGCTGAGTGCCCACTTGATAACTGAGCTCCCAGCGGATGCTGGCATCACCTGCCAATCAGGTGAGGAGACTCTCAGAGATGGTGAGCCCCACTGTACACTTGGCTGACCGTAACTCCCAAGCAAGAGCTTCCCAACTGCTTCTTTCCTGAATTCTTGGTCTAAAAAAAGTGACCCAGCAACAATGGTCGTTCTATTATGTCTCCGAGTGTCTAGGTGATTTTCCACACAGCAGACTCTGGGACATCTGTGTGTGTGCACCCAGGCACACGGGGGAGTTCCTGGAACCAGATTTCATGATAGGCAAGAACTGTGCTTGGGCAACTCCGTCGCCTCACCACATCCTTATGTTCCTAAGGGAGTGTGAGTACCTCTGGTAAGAGTGGGGCCATTTAATTCCATGTGTTAGTGCCTGTTGTGAAATACTTAGGACAGTACAACTTGTAACCTAAATATTTATCATCATTCCAATCAGAATGTTAACAGATTTTATGTTAATGTCTTTCAAGTTATTCTTTTTTTTTTCTTTTTGGGTAACACCCGGCAATGCACAGGGGTTACTCTTGGCTCTGCACTCAGGAATTACTTCTGGCAGTGCTTGGAGGACCACGTGGGATGCTTGGAATTGAACCCGCGCTGGCTGCGTGCAAGGCAAAAGCCCTACCTGCTGTGCTATCACTCCAGCCCTAAAATTATTCTTTTCATGTCTGTTATCTTTTTTTCCCTGTGTGGTTTCTTAGGACTGCTTCAAAAGGGCATTGTTTTATAGAACTAATTCCCATAGATCAGAGTTCTGCTTCTGGATTACAATCTTAAATCTGACCCAAGTTTACTTATCTGTGCTAGCTACTCTGTCTCAGTGCTTAATCTCTGTTAAGAAAGTCTGTTCTCTTCTGCAGTTTGTTAACACTTTTTTGACGTCAGCATATACTGTAAAATAATTATACATCTTTTTGCATATATTTCATATCTCCTTTCAACTTCTTGGGCATCAAATAGTTTGACATTGCCACACTGTGCCCTTGTTTAAAAATTATGAAAACTCTTGGTAAATAGGATCTCCGCTACTTATGAGATTCTGTTTATCTACAAATTACAACATTAGATTCTTTTACTGAATCCAGCTCTCTTAGAAATGGATTCAAGAAAATTCCCGTGTTTCCTGAATGGTTATCAACTGATAAACTGTGCATAGGACTGTTTTTCCTTGGAATACATGCATGTCATACTGATCCTGTGCAGGGAACACACCAACTACTCTATGAGATCAGTGATGACTCAGACGCCTACAAGTGTCCTGACTCCTTACAATAATAATAAGGTCATCTATCTAATCTCTTTCCCTTTAAGAGATGGCCTATCATCTTTTTCCAGTGAAAACGACTGTACCCTTAGGGTCACGTTTTCGAGAACATGATCCTGAGCAAGTCTTCTACAACAACCCACCTCCTCTTAGACCCCGTTTCAAGCCTTAAAGATGAAATCATGACCCAAGTTTAGTCTCTTAGATATCACAAGTTATCATGGTGGGGTGTTATTTATTTGAACTATCTGAAAAGCAGCTTCTCTTTTCCTTGTGAGGTAGAAGCACAATGAGAAACGAGGACCAGAGGAGTTTGAAAGTGAGATAAATTATAGGAGGAAGAGAATTCTGTCCGAAGATAGTGCAAAAGCGGATTGCCACAGTTCTTGAGTCCAGCACTAAGTGGTGCCTGGCTCCATCCCTCTCTTTGGAGATCTTGCATGAAATGATCATCTCTCTTCTGGCAAGTAAGATAGAGCTTCACGGCATGTGTGTTCTTATGAATCCTAAGAGATGGGCATCATTGAACTCACCATGAACGTCAGACCTGAAATTCCCAGGACAATTCTTGACTGAACCTGAACATCCAAAGGGTCATCTTCTGAAAAGTAGAGAACCTGCCCTTTAGAGTTGGATGATGCAGATCCTTTCAAAAGTACACCAATGAGCTTTAGAGAAACAGTACAGGGACAGGGCATTTGTATTGCAAGTGGCCATCCCCAGTCCAATCCACAGCTCATATATTCTCCCCAAACAACACCAGGAATAATCCTTGATTATAGAGCCAAAATTAAGCCCTGAGCACCACCACATACACCCCCACCACACACACATACACACTCAAATGAGCAAAAAGTACAATGATGACGGGTATACGGTGCTTAACACAGGGACATGGACCAGGCTGATCTGAGCCATTTGGGTAAATTGAAGAACAATTTGGGTAGAATTTTTTTGAATTTGGCCCACCCATGTGGAATAACCAGTACAGAGTATATTTAGAAGTCATCCCTGAACACAGAGCCACAAGTAAGTCCTGAGTACCCCCAGGGGCAACCTACCCCAAAAAAAAGAAAGAAAGAAAAAACACCCAATTCTTAGCCAGAGTGATCATTTCCAACTGTCTTTGTTATAGTGGTCCTTCTCTATCCCAGGTAATTTTATTCCCATCACTTGAGGCAGGCTTCTAACCATGGACCAATCCTTCTGGCCCTTGTTTCTACCATCCTTGGATATTAGTCTCACGATGTTTTATATCTCACAAAAAAGTCCAATAATTCTGTATCTATCCCTCTCCTTTTGACTCATTTCACTCAGCATGCTATTGTCCATGTCCATACATTTATAAGCAAGTTTCAAGACTTCATTTTTTCTAACAGCTGCATACTATTCCATTGTGTAGATGTAGCATAGTTTCTTTAACCAGTCACCTGTTCTCGGCACTCAGGTTGTTTCCGGATTCTGGCTATTATAAAT